ACTTTGGTCATGTTGTAAGGAGGGACTGGTCCTTGGAGAAGGACATCATGCTTGGGAGGGTGGAGGGCAGGCGCAGGAGGGGAAGGCCCTCTGGGAGGTGGATTGATTTGGTTACTGGAGCAATCGGGATGAGTGTGTCGGAGATGATGAGATTGGCACAGGACAGAGCAGAGTTTAGAGCTGTTGTACATAGGGTCGCTATGAGTCAGAAGCGACTCAGTGGCACATAACACCACCAGCAAGTGGTATATAGTCCATAGAGTTAGACTGCTAAATAAAAGGTTCTGCCTCTGGGTTCTAATCCACAGTGTCTCCCTAATGAAAAGATCAGCCTTCTCCTCCCATCGTATTTACAGCATTGATAACCCAGTAGTGGAGTGGGATCTACAAGTCAGTTCTGACTAGACTTCATTAGGTTGAAGTTTTGAATAAATGCATTATCTGTTAAATATGAGTTCCACTAAATGCTATAAAGATGCAATGATAAATACAGTCCTTGTCTTCAGTGCACTATTTACCATTAACTATCTCTGATGTTCACTTGGCACATACCATCTGTGTAAGGTTGTATGTGATAAGCCAGTCATACTGGACTCATAGTAGTCTCTCGTCTACTTGTTAAAGTTTCAGCTACGGGGGGAATTATCATCAGATAGAAATACCTTAAAGAACAGCTGGTATCATTTTACTTTGACTTGTTTGTTTCCTTAAAATGTAATTTCCCGGTGTTAATTTTGGCACTAGCTCCGATCACATAAAAAAGTGTTGAGAACATATTTTCCTGTGGCTATTTGAATTTCACGGCATTAGAGTAATGCCGTATTTTACTGTGTTCCCATTTGGATGCAAAAGCTCTGTCAAAAGTTTGTAAAATTCTTAAGAACTAAAAGTTCTCATTTTGGATTATACGTAGATTTAAGAAGTAAGTGGAATGTTTTAAATGTATTTAAAAAAAAAGAGTAGGTGTTACGTGCTATCGAGTTGCCTGCAACTCAGAGCAACTCTGTGTGTACAATAGCTCTGAACCCTGCCCTATCCTGAGCCCTGACTTGGACACACCTACCCTCATTACCCCAGTGGTTAATAGTAAAAGGGTGGTTAGCATTCAGTAACTTAGACTCTGTTCATCTGAAAGGTGATATATTAATTATACTTAATACTTTATTTATAGGTGTTCTTCCAGAGAGCGAAGCCCTAAAACCTGGATCTTCCTGTGCCTACTTCATGATCAAGAATTCCAGTTAATGATTTTTGTGTGCCATTCATTCTGATCTTTTTTAACATTGTTTTATGCTTACTGTAATTTATGTACTGGAATTTTTCTGTATAATGGGTATAATTTGTCCCAAGTGCAGGCATGTGATGACAAGAAAAGTTACTTGCATGCCAACTCTAAATGTTCTATATAAAAATGCTGTTGAAATTATAACAGCAAAGTTATCCTAATACCTTAATTTTTTTAAATTTGAAACCTTAAGTCCTTTGTAAAGACCATACCAGTGGAAAACAAAGTACTTTTTAAAAAATGCTGAATATAAAATGTTTGAGAAGTTTTATTTGCAGAGACAAAGTATGGGAGGAATGTAACAATCAACTAATTTTTTGTAGATAGTGATTACAGTCCTTTAAATTGTTTCAATGCCAATGTGTATTCTAAAAAAAGAGAATGGTCTCATAAATTAATGGATTTAAAAGTAGTCTGGTGTTACACACTTTTTATAAAAAAATAAACGTTTATGTAGTGAAATCTATCAAGTCTTTTTTTTAATTATTATACATACTTTAGCCTTGATTTTTCATTTAAAGTTTTGGAAATAAGGGTATACAGATGCTTTATTTAGTTAGAACTTAACTGTTAAATAGTATAATTTAAAATGCATCAGAAAAGCTATGTGAATATTCTCATGGGAATAGAACTTTAAGGTTTTTAAACTTAGATTTATTTAGAGCAAAATATACTATGTTAATGGTGCTTATAGCTACCCAGTTTACTCCTAGATGCACCTTCCCTTTCTGCCATTTTCATTGGTAGCTATTCAAGAACACTAGAGGAAAAACAATACTATCAGTGATAATAGTTAAAAATTAAAAAGGAAAGAAACACAAACTTGACAAGCAGAATACAGTGATTTTAGGTTAAAATTCTAATAGCTCAAGTAGGTGGAGTTTGCTTTTGTTTTAAAAACTTTGGCCCAGGTACCCATTAAGAGTTGTCATGCATTAGCTTCAGTGTATTAGCACCCTACAATTGTGTACCTAATTCTTTTCCTAGGGTTCATTCCCAAAGAGGTTTTCAAAACATCTCACTGCATCACTTCATTCTTAGACCAGAGGAATGTGTATTATACTTAAATATAGGGGTTTTTTAAAATAGAGACGTGAAAGCTGAGAATTTCTCTGATAAGCTCCCTCAGTCTTATAGAAGAAATAATTGCATCTACCAATAGAATTTCTATAATTGCAGTGGTAGTACTTGTTCAAAACGCACTATCAAGTAGCAGAGCACACTGTGTTTGGACAACACAGGCTCCTTGAGCTACATTACTCACCTGCTGTTGTTGAGTCAATTCTGACTCATAGTGACCCTACACAGCAGCAGAGAACTGACCCAAAGGGTTTCTGAGACTAAATCTTAATGCGAGCTTACTGCCCCTTTGTCCCTTGGAGAGACTGGCGTTCCTTTCTAGTTGCGTTAACAACCCAATGTCTGACCCGATGGACCACCATGGCTCATTGGAGCCAAATTAAGTCTTTTCAAATGTCAGTGAGTAGTTTTTGCACCTTGGGCAAATTAACCTGTCTCAGTATCCCCATTTGTAAGACAGGGGAAATAATAGTAGCTACCTCATAGAGTTGTAACAATTTAGTGAGTTAAACCTGTACTTATGGCTTGGTAATAACAGTTACACTATACTATTCCACATATGTAAAAAGTGGCAACATTCTTTTTCCCTGGTTCATTAAAGTCCTGAGAAGATTTATATACATTTAGAACTAAGAGAAATCAAAACGTTTACAAGTCTGTAGTAGAAATTTAACTCTCTGTGTTACAAGTAGCATGGTTAATTCCATCTTTGAGGACTGCACTGCATAACTAGGGAACCTTGTTTATCATGAATCTTATTTTAATAGTACTTCATTTCCACAGCAGAACCTCAAATAATTGTCTCAAGAGTGATTCTCACTGTTACTGGTAAGATGATAATTGAGTAAAAGACAAGGATTTAAAGAACCAGAAAAGCTTTTGGGTTCTTGTTTTAATTCCATGTCTAGCCATTTGTTTCAGTCTTGATGCTAACATTAACTGGTTTTTAAGAAGTATTATGTCGTAGTTTTATGTGCATCACTAATTATGTAGTAAACATAAATCGAGGCTTTTGACTCAATCACATTTTATTCCATACAACTTTGAGCTGTGAGTTTTACTGTTAAAAAAGAACTTTAATAGGTTTTCACTTTGCATCAGTTATGGGAAAACTGGAATTGGTTGAAACTGTAACCAGTGAATACTGATCTGTTGGAATAATTCCATCACCTGAACATTGGATTGTAATAAAATAACTTTTTTAACAACTCCTTATGGTTGGTTTTTGTTCCCTCTAATGTGGTGGTGGTGGTGATTGCCCTCGGTTGTGCAAGATGCTTCGTGACCCCATGAACAAAAGGCCGGAAGCCTTTCTATAACTACCGACATTTATCAAAGTTCATAGAGTTTCTGAAGGCATGTTGTTTAGAAGTGTGTGCATATGATAAAATCAGGCTCAAAAATAAGAATTTGCATAAATTAAGAGAAAGCTAAGACTGCAACCATATACCAGAGATTTAAAATCATCTGCTCTTAATCCTGTGTTAACACTTCTTACTTCACTGGTGGTTGTACTTCGCACTTGAGAAGCAGCCCCCCTTTCTGGCACATCCAAAATTTAACGTCCTTGGGAATTACTGTGTCCTCTCCTTACGCTGAGAAACACTGCATTTTAGACAGTGGCCATTAAGGGATCCTCTTAAGACAAAACTGCCTTAAGATCTTGGCCACACAAATACTGTAGGACTTGATCTCTGTACTTGGAGTTCCTCAGTATTTCCATTTACCAAAACGCAATCGAGAGAGAATTAAGCGTATTTTAATGTAGCTCCACTTCATTCAAATTAGTCTTTAAAATAAAAATATAAGGAACACGGTTTTTATCCACCAAGCCTGCCCCGCAGGAGAAAGTGGGAGAAAAGTGTGCAATCTCCTCATAGCCTCTGAAACCCTGCCTGAGGGAAGGGGGGTAAGATAAGTCAGTTCCAACACATGACAAAGGAACATCACTATAAATGAGGGTCCCTAGTACCTGTCACAGGTTTCAACACACCACCCACCTGTGACTATCAGTTTAGTCGCTAAGGTTTTTCATCAGTATTACCACATTCTTGTCTTCCTGGCGCTCGGGGGCAGAGACTGAAGATAAGAGCCATTGAGAGTTACTTCTTCACTACCAGATTGAGACGAGCAGCTGTTCTGTGTTCAGATCCGCTTTCCCCCGGCTCCTCGCGGCAGCGGCTCGGGCTAGGCGGGTGTGCGCACGCGCGCGCGCGCCGCCGTCACGTGGCCCTCGGCCCGGCTCGCGAATCCGGAAGCTTACGGGGCGCGAGGAGGCCGCGGGAGCCCGCTGGCGGTGGCGCGGCGAAGACCCACCTCGGTAAGCGGGTCGAGCGCGGGCGGAGGGGCCCGGGCCGTGCGGAGTCGGGGCGGCAGGGGCCCGGCGTGACCCAGTGCGGAGCGCTCCGGCCCCCGGGAGCCTCGGATGCTGAGTCAGAGCGGGGGCGGGGCGCCCCGGGAAGCCCCCACCCGCCGAGGCCAAGCGCCCGTGTGTGGCCCGGAGGACACCAGCACCTCTCAGGTGTCTGGGGCGGCCCCAGCCGGGATGGAGTGGTCGCGCGGGCACTGTCCACTCCACTCAGCCCATCGCCACACGCCAGGCCCTCCAACTGCAGCTGCGACTCTCCCGGGACGAGCGGTACTGGACATGGGGCAGACGTGTCCATTACCCCGTCCGAGTCCTGGTCGCCCCCAGGAGAGAAGATGCCCCTTTCCTGTGGAGTGGAACTTCAACCCTTTCTGCATCCTGAGTTTTTAAAATACAGTTGGTCTTTTGTGCTTTCTTATAAACGGGTCGCTCTTTCTGGTGATGTACGGAAGGACGCCTCATAATAGAGTTTGAGTCACCGGAAACTAGCCTCTGAAGACGTTTTTATGGTACAGAATGCACATTCCCACATGTTTCCTTGTCCCTGGTGGGCCTGGCTTGTATTTCATTTTCTAATATAGTTCCCAGATATTTTCGGTAGGGAACCTCAAAGTGAGTTCTACCCAGCCATTAATTGTCAAAGATTGTCATTTCACACGCTAGAATACTGTACGATTCGCATAATAATAGATTTGGGAATCCTAGAACTTAGTCCATATGTCAGTTCACCAAATATGTACTCACTTTGCTACAAATGGTAACTTCCGTTTGGGACAATATGAAGAAGTTGGTTTTAAATGTCACCAGTAGCAAACTTGTTGGTTTTCTGCCAGTACTGGTCAAGATTTGTGAAGACTTGTCTGCTGGTGCATGCATTGGGTCTTATTTTACCGTCTTATTGTGGGTTTATTAGAAATTGCTTTCTAAAGACAGTTCTCGAAATCATTTTGAAACCATAGTTTTATAACAATGTAGAAAGCGGATGTTGGCTGATAAATTTCAGTTTTCCACTAGATGCATGTAAGTCCTTGCTTTGTTGTTGTGGTCACAGCCAGAACAGAGTCATAACTGAACCTCCAGGGGGTTTTCAGAAGCAATAAATTGCACAGGAATCCCAAAGGTGTGCAGTTCGAACCACCAGCTGCTCCTCTGTAGAGGTTGGGCAGTCTCCTCCCATGTGACTAACAGCCTCTGAAAACCCGCCGGATGGTCAGCTATGGGTCAGTTCCAACTCAGAGGTACTCAACAGCAACAACAACAACAACAACAACAGATCACACTGGAGGAGCAGCTGGTGATGGGTGTTCCTTTCTGTTGGCAACAGAATTCCTTTCCACTAACACTCAATGGTAAAACAACAAAAAAGAAACCACCACAGCTCCCTAGAGTGAGATATAGTAGCAGACTAATGGAAATTCTTTATGCATAGAATGGTATAATTTTTATTGTTTCTTGTTCCTGTTATCATTAACTGGGAACTGACCCATAGCTGAACCCACAGTGGATTTTCAAAGGCAGTAAACTCAGGGGTGGAAACAGTGTGCTTTTAGTTTTGGCAGTATAACTCTTTTACTACTAAGCCACCAGAGCTCCTGTATATATTGCTATATAAAAACTTTCTTAACTGAATTAGATGGCTGCTAAAACTATAAAAATGTATCTTAGTATACACCATAAATTTAAGGAGCCATCTTGGTGCAGTGGGTAAATGTTTGGCAACTAGCCAGAAAGTCAATAGTTCTAACCTACAGGCAGTTCTCTGGAAGAAAG